TATATATATATATATATATATATATATATATATATAAAGTGGACTAACATAACTCAAAATCTGAAATAAAAGTAACTTCAAAATGCAAAAGATCTTATAAAACTCTTAATTTGATGTTTAATTTAATGTGTAATTTTGAATTTTTATACAAAAAACAACTTAATTTTTTAATCCAAAATAGATAAACCTTCAAAGCCTTCATATTGTGATTAATTTTCAGCTTAAATATTATATTGCTTTCTTTACTGAAGAGTTCCTAATAAGTCATCACATTTTGCCCAGTGTGTAGCTTGGTATCACAAACTTTACTGGAATACCAAGCTACACACTGGGCTATATGTGACAACTCACTGGGAACTCTTCAGTAAAGTTTGTGATACCAAGCTACACACTGGGCTATATGTGATGACTCATTAGGAACTCTCCAGTAAAGTTTGTGATACCAAGCTACACACTGGGCTATATGTGACAACTCACTGGAAACTCTTCAGTAAAGTTTGTGATACCAAGCTACACACTGGGCTATATGTGAAGACTCACTGGGAACTTTTCAGTAAAGTTTGTGATACCAAGCTACACACTGGGCCATATGTGACGACTCATTAGGAACTCTGCAAACTTTACTGAAAGTAATGATATATGAAATTCAATAGTTCATATAGAGATATGAATATTTATGGCTGAAAAATTACAATTAGCTTAACTGTTTCTTGTATCTTTACAATATATAGTAGTTTAATTTTTGCTTTGTATTTTTAAAGTTGATCAACTTTCAGCTAAAAGTTTAGTATAACATTAAAAACTGTTAACATATAATTTACAAACATAATTTATTTTATTTAAAAATGTGTTCCTATCAAGTATATTATATGATAGGTATGTATGTATAGTAAAGCCTAATCTACTGGCCATTCAAATAAGCTTGTTAAAGCATTTGCACGATGAAGCACATATGCATATTGACCACATGTGAGGCATCTTCTATACATGTAATGAATTCTCATTGTGTTTCTTCACACAGTACAGCAACCAATTTTGTAGGTTTTAACTATTTACACTTTTCTTTTTGTACAAATTATTATATACAGGAGCTTTAAATTTTTCTGTGAAGTTTAGGAACTACCATATACTGTGTTAAACACATTTTATAGATAACTATTATAATAGCTGAAAACCAGAAATTATATAATTGTATGTTTGTGTTGAACAGTGTTCTAAGTTAAAAATGTATTTACACTAAAAGATGTTATATTATAAATAAAATTTGTTCTAAAAACCCTTTGAATTAATATTTTTTGTCATACAAGATGCATGTAAATCTATAAACAGCTTATTTTTTTCTCAAATTGGATAAATTCATATTTGATCAGTGCCTTTCTTGTTGCTGTGTGTATTAGATTGATAATGTATATATATATTTTTGTTTCATTTCTTACAGAGAGAGATATTGGTCACGAAGCAGCTGCATCACAAGAACCTTCTTCCTTATTTCTGCTCCTTTGTGTGCGATAATGAAGTTTGGGTGATTATGCCCATCATGGTTTATGGTAAATTTACTAATGTACTTAACAGTTGTTTGTGAAATATTGATGTATTTTCATAGCACTGGTGATTGGTACAAACTAATACTGAATGAGAAATTTTTTCATAATGTTTTTGTTTATTGTTTTCAACTACACTATCCATCTTTAAATGCATCATTCTATGAGCTAAAAGAAATTAATCAATTATAAATTAAACTTTTTAGATAAACCAATATCCTTGTCAGCAATCAGTTCAGTATTGTAAATGCTAGGCAACAAAGTTTAAATTTCAAGATATTTTTTATGAAACAATTCATTCAGGGTCATTATGGATTTCCTCGTGAATACATTTCACATGATACTAAATTTCAGTTTTCCATGATCTTTTGTGTTAAAAACTTATTTTTATAAGTCTTGATCCAACCTGATTATTTGATTCCTCTCTTTTTTCCAAGTATTTGAATATATTCTGATGTGTTGTTATGGACATTAGAATAAGTGTATTTTAGCATGAAACATGGTTTTAACATTGCATATTCTATTCCTGTGGACTCAAAAAATGATTCATTTAACAATCAGCTCAAAATTATATGGACTGTAACCAGAAATCTTCTGATAGATATTGTTATGATAAATGAGCAGACTACATTTTAATAATAATTTTCATAAGCACTGTTTAAGTCCTATTATGTTGTTAGAAAAAAAAACTGCAAGTTAAGGTGTTAATTTCTTAATGTCTAACAACTACTTTTAAACACATTTATCTGGTGGTAAATAGTTCCTTCAAAATTTCTTACATGGTGCATAAAAAAAAAGAGTTTCTAACCCAATAATAACAACGTGCTTCAGACTGAAGGCCATTATGTAACTCTTGTTAAATTTCTTTCCAATAATAAAACCAGTGAATAAAATTGTTTGAAACTTGACAAGAACTTTCATAAAAGTATGTAGTTTGAGAAAAATAAAATATTTAATTTTGATTTTTTCTACTATTTCTACTAAAAATGCATTATTTATTGTAGCTATTTGTGCTTGGTCTCTGAATAGTTCACCTGCAAGATGATTTTCATGTTCAGTTAAAAAATACTATTTTTTATTGTACAATTTTGACATTTCATAACCTGTAGAACCTTCTAAGTAAATATCAAAAGTTTTTTAAGGTAAACATTTATATTTTAGTTGTTATTTTCATTACAACATCACTAACTTTAGTTAGCTATTACCATCAACGTACATTGCAATGGAATGTTAAAAATTAAGAAATGGAAATATGTACTTATATTTTATCTTAAAATATCTCCTTTGGGTCATATGTGTAATTTCATATTCTTACATTTTCACTTATAGTTTATTTTTAATGTTTTATTTTTCTTTCATTTACTTTATCTTTGATTATTAATCTCGATACACATCAACAGGTGCCCTAGGATGATATAACGTTCACATTGGCAGAGATTGTTTAAACCCCAACAAAATGGTGGTTACATTCACTAACTTTATGAATGCCTTTTGATTGAGGCAAAGCATAGAAAAAATTTAAAACTCATTAAACCTTTCAAATATGAATATTAAAATACAAATAATACATAACTAACTAAAATATAAAAGTAAAACCTAAATGCAATTTAACTGTATCAAACTAGTATGTATAAAGCAAGAACTTGCTCTCAACAATGGACTATGCCTTATTTCTCCTCGTATGTAAATGGTTATATACATCTGTGTTTACTGTTAATTTGGTGACATTCCAATGGGAAATCTGCTCTTTCTATTGGTTGTAAGCCTGGCATTCAACTTAAAACTTACTTTTACTTTGGAAGTGGGTGTGGCTCTTTAGCTGAAATTATTTTTACAATGTTTTCCTCAGACACAAGTTCTTAAAATTGGACTCGAGTTACTCGTAAACAAGCTATATGTACATGTACTTTGAACATCTGCAAGAACACTTCTACTTCATATACACTTGTTTCTTTTATATTAGCTCTAAAGTTCAGGTATTTTCAATCGCAAGATTATCATGTGAGAGTGAACTTAAATTATTTAATTATTGTTTCAGAGGTTTATTTTGAAATAAAGGAATAAAAACTGAGATAATTTAAAAATAATATAAAACATTGGATTATAATATACTTGATAAAAATAGTTTCATTAAAATACATTAATAGTAAAGTGATTTTATTAAATTTTAATTGTAACTCAGTAACATGTGCAGAAAGTGTTTTAAAAATGGTGTCATCATTATAGGGTTAAACATTTGGTTGAAAAACATGGACAGAAATAAAACTTCCTTGAACTTGCTGTCACCAGCTGTTCAGGTTTGAGCATTATTTGTGATTGTAGTCCAGCTTTTTCATGATTTTAATGCTTTTGTTGACAGTCCATCAATTACACCCTTTTACCTTAATTATGAAAACTTTTTAAGTTGTAAGTGGTATTTAGATCTGATGACAGAAACCTCAAAAAATAATAAAGTATGTATAAAAGTTAAGTGCATCCTTGAAAGATGTTACAGATTATTAAAATGATGTAGACAGTTTGAATACTTTATTTAAACTCTGTATTTAATAACAATTGCTTCGTTCATGTAATATAATGTAAAGTTGATGCATTCGAGGTGAAGTAGGAATTACATATCAGTGTCTTTTATACACCAATATGCACTACAGAAATTAAATAATGAATTACATATCCATAAAACGTTTGGAAGGAAGATATATTTCATCATTTAGTTTCTAAGAAAATGTTTCTTTGATAATTTGTTGTTTTGTTCTTTCTTTTTTCTAGGTTCAGCACAAGACATCATCAAGTCCCGGTTTTCTGCTGGTCTTCCAGAGCTAGCAATTGCTTTTATTATGAAGGATATCTTATCAGCTCTTGAATATATTCACAAGCGGGGACTTATACACAGGTTGAATTAAAATGCTTATATTCTATTAGCTCTTACATTTACTCTTAAAAGGGTACATAGATTAGCACATTAGGTCATGAGCTTATAATTTCTGTCTGTGGTGACATTAAACATTTTTCAGGAGAAAAATAAAGCTTATGCTTTTTACAAGCACAAATTATGTATATATATATATTGTTATTGTTTGTTTTCAAAAAGTAATAAAAAATTAAATAATCCAAGCTTCTAACCATGATTCAGATGTTTTGCCCTATATTTAATTGTGATTTTTATTTGGAGAGAAGAAATATTTAGATGTTCTAACTACCTAGATAAAACTTCTTTATATGTGAAATAAAGCTGCAAATATGTGGTCTTCGTACATTTTAGTTGCTCATTTGTAGCTCAAACATTTTAAAAGCAGTGAATTCTTTTAAAAGTTTGTGATATCAAATAAAAATGAACTTACTGTTCTTCTTGTGTTACAAATTTCAAGCTTCTAAAACTAACAAAATCATAAGTATATTATGTGAAAACAGATTATTTTCTTCCTTGCAATGTATGTACTTACCATAGAGCTCTCTTTCATTCTTTTAATGATTTCAAATTTTTAAACTTTCAGGTATTACATCGGAAACCTTTTGTGTTTACATAATTTAAGTTAATCTTATTATACAGGGTGTCCCTAAAGTCTGAACACATAGGCAAAAATGCAGATTTTCAAGAAATGAAATTTTCAACAACATTTTATTCAATTGGAATATTAACAAATAACATCTTCAATATGATTTCCATCATTTGTGATGCAAAGGTTGATGCGCTTTGCAAGATTCATGTGAATTCGATGTAATAACTCCACATTGCCATCAATTTTAGCACATTCACTCATTAAATATAGTTAATGAGATTTCCTATGTGTCCAGACTTTAGGGACACCCTGTAGAGAGGGTTGTGTATATTATATTAAAACAAGTTTGAATATCCAAATAAATAAGTCATATGAAAACCAAAAATGCTATAATGTCATAGTGAAATATAATGTATCAGCATTACATTTTGGCATTGTTTGCCATTTCATAGGTAGTATGATGCCACCAAATTCTGATTACTTTTGAGAAGGGCATGTAACAGTCCTTTCCATCTCAACATGTTCATACACTTAGATCATAGAGATGTGTTCAGATATGTAATTTAAAATTTCCAAGACAAGGATATCCTTTCTACTTAATTGCATTGGGAAACAAAGGAAAATGGATCAACTTGGAACACCAGGAACATATAGAAAGTGACTTGCAACTAGCCATATCCCAGTCATGGTAAGCAAAGTGTAGCATCTTATAAAAGAGAGAATCCACAAACACAAAGTCAATGGGGCATATGTACAGCTTTTACCACTGACCTGTGTATATGTGGATTTTCATACCTTGTTACAAGATGCCACACTTTTTTTTTACCACAGCTTGGGTATTACTTGTTGCAGATATCTCTCAGGATGGTCCTGGTGTCTCAAGTTCATCCATATTACTTTGCTTTCCAATACCATTAAATGCAAGATATCACAATCTTGGAAATTCTAAATTTCTATAGTCTGAATGAGTGAATATTTTGCATTGGAAAGGACTGTTACATATCCTTGCAAAATGTAATTAACTTTTGGGGCATCACACTACCTATGAAACACCACAAAATGTCCAAAGGTAGTTATGATATATTTTGTTTCATCTCAACTTTATATAGACTGTAATTGTCACATAACTTGCTGAATCACATTTTAGTATAATATACTCAACCCTCTATACATCTGCTTTGGTCATCACAACTTTTAGATCTCATAACGTATTTTCAATTGCATTATATTAACTGCACTGAAGTATTTAATACATTTTTGAGTTTAGCACTGTAACATAAAGATTATTATTTTATCTTGAAATCAGTTGAAATAGAATAATGTTTGAAAGTATTTCATTCTATATTAACTAAAAATCAGGTTCATAAGGGTCTTAGAAAACTTGAAACTTTTTTAATCAATTTCCAGGACTGTAAAGTTTTTGCAAGTTAATAATGTAGTGAAAAGTCTTAGAACACTAAAATAGCTGTGTCAAAACATTTACTTTCTGATATTTCAAAATATCAGTAACAACATTCCTGCTTTGGTCAACTATTGTAACCGTTCCTTGACTGATGGTTCTTCAGGTCACTTCAAGTGCACATTTACAAGATCAGCTTTCAAATATTAAGAAAAAAAATATTAATTTAATTGTATTTCAACAAGTTTTTACTAAAAATATTATATAATCATTATTTTAGCAATATATAACATTTAAGTAATTTATTTGTTTATTAAATATAAATGGAGCTTGACAAAGAAGTATTGTAGGAAAAATATCACTTTATAATGTCTGACAAAGATAATACTGTTATATTAAAAAGTGGGGACAGTGTTCGCTGGTAAATGTTTGTTATTCATACAGTATGACTTACAGCAGAAAGCTGAATGCCTCAATCTGCAGAATAAAGTATATTAATGAATATCAAACAAGTTATAACTGATTGTATATTTAAAATGGAGTTTTATGGTCAAAATGAAAAATAGAAACTCTTAAGACAAGAAAATTTTGAATATTTCGCAATCTGAAAAAATTATACAAATACTAACTCAAATTTTAGGAAAATTTTCATGAAAAACCAGAACATATTTAAAAAGTTTCTACAAAGTTTCATGTAATTTGGTTATATATTTACACTTTGAGAATGGAAAAGAACAGAATATTAGGGATAACTTAATATGTAAATAAAAACTTCAGCTTATTATAACACTTCCATTTAACAGCTATGACAAAACGTGATTTACAAATTTATAAGGGAAATGGTAAAGGTAAAAGCTGTTTTTTAGATCCTAGGAAGTTGATAATTCCATCTTGGAAAATCCTAAAAAAAATGGGAATACATATGTTTACATGTTTTTCTGTTTGCACTTGGGTGTTTGATAAAACAGATGGAACATAAGTAAGCTTTACTTTAATATAAGGATATACAATTATATTTCAATGTATTTGTAAAACTAATTTGGTCATTATGTACAGTAAATGAAGAAGAAATGCCACAAAAAAAGAATTAAACTATTTTTCTTCTTTTAGAAGTGTGAAGGCTAGTCATATTCTTGTATCTGGCAGTGGAAAAGCTATACTCTCGGGGCTTAGATATTCTTGTAATGTCATTGAAGATGGTCGTTGGCACCAAACAATACACCAATTTCCTTCAGATTCTGGATCTAACCTTAGTTGGTTGAGTCCTGAGGTTCTTGAACAAGTAGGATTACATTTTCTTTTGTTTGACAAAGCCTTCTATTGTATATATAAAATTTTATCTCTTGAAAATGTATTGCAGGAACACAGATTCAGCTGAAATATGTAATACGCAGTGTGGTCACAAATAAATAGACACCATCTTTTCAGAAAAAAATGAAAATTTTCAGTAATATTCACATGAATTGATATATTTATAATTCAATTAATATCTAGTAGATCTTCCTTTTGCTTCGTGGAGTTCGTTGATCCTTTGGGGCATCGTGAGAATCATCTCGTCAATTTTAGATTGTGGGATTTTTGCCCACTCTTGCTTCAAAACTTGGAATAGATCGCTCTTCGAAGTTGGTTTTTTTGTTGTTTCTTGACTTGCCGGTCAAGTATGGCCCAGAGGTTTTCGATGGGGTTCAAGTCAGGAGATTGGCTCGGCCAGGGAAACTTCTGGATACCATTTTCTTCCTGCCACTTTTGGGTGTTTCTAGCAGTGTAACACGGTGCTCCATCTTCCTGGAACAACATTGTGTTCCTGTCCACGAAACCCGTGGAATAAAGTGGCAAGAGTCCTTCCTCCAATATTTCAACGTATTTTGCAAAATTTATGTTGCCAACTCACTCCACTAAGCTCGATCTCCCACCAACCCAAACAGCTCTCCAAACCATCACGCTGAAACCACCATGCTTCATAATTGGCTGCAATCTGTTGAGCCAAAACTCTTGGTGAGGCATTCTCCTAGACCCATATCCTTCCTACTGTCCGAAAATTGAGCGAATCTTGATTCGTCTGAGAACAATACGGTCTTCTAGAAGTCCAGAAGCTTGGTCATCATATCACTTGCCCACTTCTTTCGTCTGACTATGTTGGCAGGCCTTAATAAAGGG